TTCGGTCGTTTCGTTTCGGTCGTTTCGGTCGTTTCGATGGTTTCGGCCGTTTCGTTTCGGTCGTTTCGTTTCGACGTTTCGCCTTTTAGTACATGCCAAAAATTTCACCGTATGAACAGTATAACAACACAAAATATATAAAAATTTCACCGTATCAACAGTATAACAACACAAAATATATAAAAATTTCACCGTATCAACAGTATAACAACACAAAGTATATAAAAATTTCACCGTATGAACAGTATAACAACACAAAGTATATAAAAATTTCATCGTATGTACAGTATAACAACACAAAGTATATAAAAATTTCACCGTATGGACAGTATAACAACACAAAATATATAAAAATTTCATCGTATGAACAGTATAACAACACAAAATATATAAAAATTTCACCGTATGAACAGTATAACAACACAAAATATATAAAAATTTCACCGTATGAACAGTATAACAACACAAAATATATAAAAATTTCACCGTATGAACAGTATAACAACACAAAATATATAAAAATTTCACCGTATGGACAGTATAACAACACAAAATATATAAAAATTTCACCGTATGAACAGTATAACAACACAAAATATATAAAAATTTCACCGTATCAACAGTATAACAACACAAAGTATATAAAAATTTCATCGTATGAACAGTATAACAACACAAAGTATATAAAAAATTCTATTATACCGATATAAAAATTAAAAATATTCACCACCATGGCGCTTTCATCGCCCGTACTCCAATTTTCGGAATTCCAGCGGTTATTCTCATAATACGTTACATTCTAGCGCAAAGTTAGTTTAAGGCATTGAAATACACAGCCCAAGTTGGGTTATGTATTTTAATGCCTTAAACCAAAGATCGTCAAGTTAATCGGGGATAAAAACATGATCGCACGCCACTGCATGCCTAGCAAGCCCGAGGAGTGTGATTCACTGCACGCCCGCCTTCTCTTTCCTGGGATGGCCTGGAGTCACGATCTTTCTCAACGGCCGGTTTATAATAGTTTATACCTGTAAACCACATAAAAATCACAAATATTCTTGAGTTATAATCACTCCGCGTATTTTTAGTTTTCAAATGTTGTATTTCCGCTGATGAGAAAGATCGTGACTCAATCTTTACCCGTTACGACGATATGAAAACCTGGCTTTATTTCCACTGCCAAATTTTTACCTGAAATCTTTACTCATGAGTAATCACCGACAATGAAACTCGCTGACTGTCGGCGTCATATGGAAACCAGGCTTAAGTACGATTCGCATGTACCTGCAGGCCTTAAAATATCGGTCGGGCACGGACATTGTCCGACCCATTCGTGAAATTGTCCGACGTAGAAAAGAAACCACCGGACATTCTGTCCGACCAAAGTGAAACTGAGGTTTATTGTTTGTCCGACCCGAGTGTATTGGTGTCCGACCGAACTGTAGCTTTGTCCGACGTAAATCAAAAAGTACCCTAGCCCAGGAGGCCCGGACTAGAGGCAGGCTTATATGTTAAATGGAAAATCAGAGTACTATTGTATAAAAGGTCAACTGGAAATGTTGTTTTAACGTAGTCGAGCGCGGGGCGGCGAGCGAAATGGTGAAGTGGAAAACGGGCTGAAGTTGTCGAAGTCTTTTTGATACTGCTGTTCTGGCAAGCAAGTTAATTTTGGCTTGGAAATAAGTATGAAAGAAACAATTTTTTTAATATCTTTACAACATTTACCCTACCGTTTATTCATTTGTGTCATTCAGACTTATTTCCGAGTCAAAAATGAACTGAAGGTCACCGGACATTTTGTCGGACGGCCCTGGAAAAGATATTTTAAGGCCTGCTGTACCTGCGGTATATCGGCGGGCTATTGTCGTTAGCATGATTCTCATTTATCGTAAACATCGGCGATGCCCATTGTCGGTGTTCATTGATGCATAAAATGTTTTGTGCATTTTCTTTTTCGTTGCTCACAGACAATGGATCGCAGAACATGCCGATTAATGAGAACCAGGCTTAAACAATGATAGCGCAGGCATGCATATGTGAACAAGGCTTTAAGCTTGCGTTGATGTCGAAGCTGATGGCGCAAGCTTCGCTGCATTTTCTTTGTTTTGCCTTTTCCCATGCTTGTCACTCGACTTGTGAACCAGGCTTAAGTAATTGTCATATTTATCACTATTTGTAATCACCATGTAATTCAGTAATATTGAGTAATAATTCAACTATCTATCGAACTTTTCTAATATTGCTTTTCCACACAGCAGTTAAGCAGCGCAGGTATTTTACCTCTGACACAACTTGGTATCAACGTTGCTAGTCCTCAGTTATCTGGCAAGAAACAACAACAAGCTGTGACATTGTCTTCATCGCTAACACAACTGCAGCAACAACAAGCCAGACAACTCACTGCTGGTAAGTTTACCAAGATCAACATTTCTTCTATAGCGCAAGTTTGCATGTGATTATGATCAAATGCACTTTACATCAAGTATTATGCTTGTCTAATTACGTACTTGCCTATAAACTATTATTATCTTTATAATAATTGTGATATTATTTTCTTATACCTATGTTGTTTATTTGGGTTCTCACCCTTCGTCCGTTTGACTTTCCATAGCCCGTTTGACTTTCCATAGCCCCTTACATTAAAATTTCCAAAACCAACTCCTTAAAAAGTAATACTAAGTAATAAAACCCTTTCACATTCTATGGCTTTTATTTGCGCCAAATTCCACGACTTTTCATAGCCCTAAACAGTAACAATAGATTTCCCAAACTTTCCAGGCCCTGGAAAACACCTCAATCAATTTCCAAAACTTTCAAAAACTCGTACGAACCCTGCTCTCAAATTCTCAATCACGTTATGAAAAAGTCCGCAGAGGTGGCACACTAAGAGGCCAACACCTGACCATACCCCAGTCTGGTCGCGAAGGCTTGATGCATTTTGAGCGACTCAGATTTAGGATAAGTTTTGACAACAGTATTAATCTGAATTAGTGGTACATTATAATGTCGTTGCCGTATTTTCCTGACCCTTCATATAACCAGGGGAGAGAATGCAACCCTAGGTATAATAGCGATATTTTACATTCAATGTTGGGTTTGGACATGGAAAACTTTTAGAACTTCTTCAATCCCAGTATTCGCATTTTTAGATGCTTCACTTAGGCACAATTTTATTTCGCTTCTTCATATTTTCTTATGTCAAAAGAACCATTTTGTATTTCTGTTTCAACAAATTCATTCCGCGAATTTAATTCAATTTCAATTAATATTCATTTCAATTTAGCATCAGTTAATACGTCAACAGCAGTAACCATGGTAACCATTGGTAACACAGCAACGCCCATAGCAACCATGACGCCAGCTGGAAGTAGATCTGCTTCAATTGTCCCTCTTCAACAACCTATTCAGGTAAATATATCCAACTTACTGACGTTATACATATGTTCGGGCTGATCCATGTCCTCCATGCTTTTCTGCCCCTCGTCATGTCCTGAACTGTCAGTTCCTTGATATGTAGGAGGCGTGCGATTATAAAGTCCTTTTTTCCCCTACCTTTGTTCATGTGCAGGTCATAATGTCTCTGACTGACTCTATTTCATCTCTTCTTATTACGTGTCCATACTATCTGCCTTCTTCTCTGCAACATCTACCACCTCACATCTTCTCGTCTCTTCACTACATAATGTCTCTGACTGGCTATCTTTCATCTCTTCTTATTATGTGTCCATACTTTCTGAGCCTGCCTCCTTCTCTGCAAACATCTACCACCTCACATCTTCTCATCTCTTCACTACATAATAGGGCCATTTATACGAGCGAAAATAAGTCGCGGCCTAAATAAGCCGCGGCTTAAATAAGTCGCGAACGATTCGTATAAACAGTCAATTTGCAATAAGCCGCGGCTAAAATAAGCCCAGGCTTGAAAGCTAGGCCTAAATAAGCCGCGGCTTGTTGCAAATTGACTGTTTATACGAGTTGTTCGCGACTTATTTAAGCCGCGGCTTATTTAGGCCGCGACTTATTTTCGCTCGTATAAATGGCCCTAATGTCTCTAACTGACTCTCTTTCATCTCTTCTTATTACATGTCCATACTTTCTCAGCCTGCCTCCTTCTCTGCAACATCTACCATCTCACATCTCTTCACTACATAATGTCTCTGACTGACTTTCTTTCATCTCTTCTTATTACGTATCCATATTATCTGCCTCCTTCTCTGAAACATCTACCACCTCACATCTTCTTATCTCTTCACTACATAATGTCTCTGACTGGCCGTCTCTTATTTCATCCGGTTATTACGTGTCCATACCATCAGCCTTTCTCCGTTCTCTACAATGCTTATCACAGCACATCTTTTTCTTCTCTTCATTCCTTATTTAGTTTCTTCAGCGAAATATGTGGGATCCATCAACAATCTGATCTTGACTACCTTTGTACTAACACCACTTTCACGTTTAGGTTCGAATGGTTCCGTTTCCACAGGGAGCGCAAACAGTACAATCACGTCAAATCACATTACAGCCTCAAGTTAATCCTACAAACAGCAACACTGGCAGAACACCAGGAAGACCCAACTTGAGACGCAGATCATCTCATCAATCGAACAGTTCACAAAAATAAATATGTATCTCAGAACATGGAAAACATTTATCGAAAATGCTCATTGTAACAATGGGTAATCTTGTTATTATTTGTATATTATGAAGTTATTTTTACAACTAACTTAATGTAGTTTTATATGTTTGGGTATGCGTGCGGCAAGATCATGTTTCTGTTTGCAACGAGACTCTTGAATGCGCTGCTTGGTGATGAGAAGGTTACACATTCACTTGTTCTCGTTGTGTAGGGAATGTACCAATTAAGTACATTGTACACCCCC